AAAAAAAAAAAAAATGTAATTGCCATGAATTAAGATGGAGAAGGCCCCAAGAGAAGCAGGTTTGGGAAGGAAGATTAGGTGTTTGGTGTTAGATGTATCTATCAGCTATTCAAGTGCAGATTTCAAATAGTTGGATGTATAAGTCTAGAGTCCAGGAAAGACCTATGACTAGATATATAAATCAGCATATAGATAGTATTTGAAAGCATGAAACTAGATGAGCTCCCCAAGGGAGTACAAACGGAACAAAGAGGAGACCCAGGGACTAAGACTTGGGATAACATGACATTGACGAGTTGGAGAGAAGAAGAAATACCCACAAAGGAGGTTGGGAAAGAATGACCCAAGAGGCAGGTGGAAAGCCAGAAGCCTCATCTGAATTGGGTCCATCTACTGCTACTTCTATAACCTTGTGAAAACGGCTTCATCTCTCCATGCCCAGATCTTCCTTGTATCTACAATAAATACCAGTTATCTCATGTAGCTGTTGTAAGAATTAAATGAGCCCAGGAAAATGGTACACTGAATGTTGAAACCTGTAAGTGCTCACTAAATGGTAGCTACCGTTTTAGTCTTAGACCTCTCCAGCTACTACAGTCATTTGTTCTACTACTTTACAAAAAAAGAATTAGGAGTTACAATTTAAAAAGACCAGCAGGGGAGAAGCCATTAGGAACCCTTTACAGTAAGGTTGTAATCTACCACTTCCACCTTAAACTGACTATTCCTGTATCTATAAACAAGCTCTCGGCAAATGTCTGCCTGTTTTTCCTTGAACATGCTATACATGTCCCACCCCCATGCCTTATTCACATCACTCTCTGTTTCACATGCACTCTCTATCTACTGTTTAAAATTCTTAGCTTACACTTTCACGCACACCACAAAATTATATTCTGCATTGAAATCATCATGATTTGCCCTTAGTATGACCTCCCTTTCCTTTAAATCTTTGCAGCTTTAATTAACTCTGTGGCATTTGCCATTTCCACAGTGTGAACAATCAAGAGTTAATTATAAATGTATTAACCTTTCATTTTATTCTCCTAGGTTGGCCTTTCTGATATACTCACTAGCAATATATAATATTAATTCAACATTTTAACAATAAGGATCTAAAAAATGTGCACGTATTTAAGGTATGATTTAACCACTGTTAACACAAGCTTTTTAGAAACCTCATTTGCTCTCCTTCTAAGTATCTGCTTAAATCAATACCCAGCACTACTTTAACATTCCACTCTTGTTACTCATGTTCAGAGTTCATTTCCAATTTGAAAACAATGTACTCTGTCAAATCTCATCTTGCTGTAATTTGTTCAATTTAAGAACTCCAAGTTCTAAAGGCATTTCTACTAATCTTTTTCTATACTCATAATCTTTAATTTGTCTCAATACTAAATTTCTAACAACCCTTATGAAAAACTAAAGCAACCTATGTTCAGCATGATATTGAAGTATTTACATGTTTGAGTTTAGGTTCTCTAATTTACTGCTCTCTCAAACAGAGAACAGAGGAAAAGAAGGAAGAGAGTTACTTAAGTTGAACACCTTTTATTAGACTCCACCAAACCTAGGCTTGAATCTTGGCTTTACCTGGTTCAAATCTAGTAAATTGTACAAACTCCATCCAGTTAATGTTCTGGTGCTCAATTTATTTTATTTTTTTGAGACAGAGTCTCACTTTGTTGCCTTGGTAGAGTGCCATGCACCACAGCTCAACAGCAACCTTAAACTCTAGGGCTGAAACGATTCTCTTGCCTCAGCCTCCCAAGTAGCTGGGACTACAGGTGCTGCCACAATGCCCAGCTATTTTTAAAGAAGGGGGTCTTGCTCTAGCTCAGGCTGGTCTTGAACCTGTGAGCTCAGGCAACCCACCAGCCTTGGACTCCCAGGGTGCTAGGATTACGGGTGTGCACCACTGCGACCAGCCCCTACAGTTTCCTTATGTTTAAAATGAAAATATTACTTAGCATTTATAAAAAGGATGAATGGAAAATTAGATATCATAAAGGATGAAGACTGGATGCCAGAATAACATTTGGCTTTTTTCTGCATTACTAACATAACTTATATGCATTTTAATTTTCTACTATAAGCCACATACCTTTTAACTTAGACCAAGATCTGTAAGAGTCAATGCTGACTCTGAAACTGCAAAGCAATAGGGCCTTTTATAAAGCAAAACGTTTTTATTGGTTTTATTGATATTGGGTAAAATGCATATTCTAGTAAAATTTTTAACATGAACAATAAATGAGATAATGAACGAATTAAAAAAGTAGAAATACACAATGCTTGTTGTTATTATTATTATTGGTAGATTACATTTTTCTTTTAGGAGATGGGATCTTGCTATGTTGCTCAGGCTGGAATGCAGTGGGGTGATCACAGCTCACTGCAACCTTGGACACTGGGGCTCAAGGGATCCTCCCATTTTAGCCTCTCAAGTAGCTGAGACTACACTCATGCATCAGGACACTGATTCATGTTATTTTTTGTAGAGACAAGGTCTCACGATGTTGCTTACACAGGTGGATCTTGAATTCCTGGCCTCAAGAAATCCTCTGGCTTTGGCCTCTCAAACTGCTAGAATTACAGGTATAAGCAACTTTGCCCAATCAGTAGAGTGAATCAAAAGATGAATAATTTTAAAATCATAAATAACAGGACGAATATATTGAGAGACAAAGAAAAGAGAATCTTAAAGAACAGTGTAATGTTTAATGCTCAGTAAAATAGATAAATTATTTCTTTACCTGAATCACTTGCTGCAACAACAACTGTTCCACCAGGAGCAAAAGGATCATTGTGTTTCAGTGTTTCTACCTAAAAAAAATGACACAAAACCATGACTGGGAGTAGCAACATTTCATGACCAAAACCTCATTTCCATTGTATTGTTTGCAAATTCTAGATTAAAGAAAAGAAACATTAGGAACAAATGTTTCTCCTAAGTGATTTGCAATCTCACCAAATGAAAATAATGTATTTTATTTTCCAGTCTTAACTATGAAAAAGGACACTCACTCATAGAAGTGCATAAACCAGATCTATGGCTTAACAAATAAATATTAAGTGATCATCTATGTAATCACCTCCCAGGAAACTGCCAACACCTCACAAATCTTCACTCTCAAATCATAATCCTGACTTTGGCATATTCATTTCTTTATTCTTCATAATATTGCTATCTTCATAATATGCACACTGTTTCAACTTTTTTTTTTTTTTTTTTGCAGTTTTTGGCTGGGGTCGAGTTTGAACCCACCACCTCCAGTATACACGGCCAGCGCCCTACTCCTTTGAGCCACAGGTACCGCCCCTGTTTCAACTTTTTATTCTAAAATAATTTAGACTTACAGAAGAGTGGTAAAGACAGTACAGAGTTCCCATACATTCTTTGCTTATCCTCCTCTAATGTTAGTATCTCACATAATCATGAGATATCATCTATTAAAACTACAGAATTGACCCTGGTACAAAAGTATAAATTACAGACTTTACGGGGATGTTGCCAGTTTTTCCATTAATACCCTTTCCTTTATTTATTTATTTATTTTTAGTTACAGAGATAGAGTCTCTGGTTGGGTGCAGTGACTCACATTTATAATCCTAGCACTTTGGAAGGCAATGCAAGAGGATCACTTGATGCCAGGAGTTTGAAATCTGCCTGAGTAAGAGTGAGACCATCTCCATAAAACACAGAAGAATTAGCTGGACATGGTGGTGCACACCTGTACACCCAGTTACTCAAGAGGCTGAGGTAGGAGAATTACTTGAACCCAGGAGTTTGAGGTTGCAGTGAGCTGTGATGAGGCCACTGCACTCCAGCCTGGTGACAAGTAGAAACTCTATCTCAAAAGAAGGAAAAGAAAAAAAAAAAACCAGTATCATGAACAGTCACTGACATGAATTAAATGATTAAATGACCAACTACCAGATGAGTATCCCATATGAGAAATACTGGGGACCAGAAGTGTTTTGGATTTCAGATTTTGGAATACTTGGATTATACTTACCAGCTGAGCATTCCTAATCTGAAAATCCCAAATCCAAAATGCTCTAAAATCTGAAACCTTTTGAGGGCTGACATGACACTTAAAGGAAATGTTCACTGGAGCATTTTGGATTTGGGATGCTCAAACTACATTATCGTTC